GATAGTAACAGTAGTACCTGTTCTGTCTACCTCCTGTAACAATCATGGTTTAGATGTGTGATGAAGAGGCTGAGGATGTAGCTCAGTGGTAGAGTGCCTGAGTAGCATGCTCAAGGCCCTGGGTTCAAACCCCAAGACCACCAACAAAACAAAACTACATGATAAATGATGAAGACCTTTCAGAAAAGAGACCCATCCCCACCCTTAGATCTGCTGGGAGCTTTAATCTTAGTGTCTAGAAACCAGAGGTGACCCACATGAACTTCAGCTGGCAAGATATAAACAGAACATGGCATAGCCACACAGTACACTACCTGCTCATCAATAATGATCCTGAAAACAACATGGGTGAATCTGAAGCATTTTGCCAAGTGAAAGAAGCCAGACCCCAAAGACCACATGCTGTATGATTTGGTTTATATGACATATGGAGAGGCAAAACTATAGGGACAAAAAACACATAAGTGGATGCAGAATTTTTAGAGATGGTTGACTGAACTGTTCTGTATCATGATATTACGTGCCTATAATACCAACACTCGGGAGGCTAAGGCAGGAGAATCTCAAGTTCAAAGCCATCCTGGGCTATATAAAGAGATCTTGTAGCAAAACAAAAGAAAACAAAACACCCTTACAGAACTATATATTAAAAAGAGTAAATTTTTTCTGCCTCAGTAGGCATATGAATAGTTCAGAAAAAGTTCCCCAGGGGGATTTTAATCTCTTGACCATTTCTTCCAAAATGAAAAAGTCTGCTCTGCTAGGTGTGGTAACTCACATCTGTAATCCCAGCTACTTAGTAGGTGAAGGTCAGAAAGATGGCAGTTCAGAGCTAACTCAGGCAAAAAGTTATCAAGACTCCATTTCAGCAAATAAGCCTGGTGTGATGGTGCATGCCCATAATGGGAGGTGTGAGAGGGAGAATTGAGGTCCAGGCCAACCTCAGGAAAAACTGAAGACCCTATGTGAAAAATAACTAAAGCAAAAAAAAAAAAAAATCCAGTGCCAGTGGCTCATGCCTGTTATCCTAGCTCCTTGGGAGGGAGGCTGAGATTGGGAAGATCACAGTTCATAGTTCATGGCCAGTCTGGGCAAATAGTTCAAGGGACCCCATCTCCAAAATACCAGAGAAAAATGGATTGGTGATATGACTCAAGTAGCAGAGTATCTGCTTTGCAAGCATGAAGTCCTGAGTTCAAACCCCACCAAACAAAAAAAAGAAAGGTTGGGAGTGTGACTCAAGCAGTAGAACACCTGCCTAGCAAACAAATGGGGTTCAAATCCCAAAACCACCAGAAGAATAAAATAAGCTTCACAATTTGTATATCTATAGTTACATGAAGAATAATTTAAAATGTCCAGACATGGAAAATTGCATTATTCAAGACAAAATTTTATTTATTTTTTTTTTTTTGCAGTACTGGAGTATTTGAACTCAGGGCCTCATGCTTTCTAGGCAGGTGTTCTACCCCTTGAGCTACTCTGCCAGTCCCAATTTTTTTAAGAGTGAATTTTACTGTGTGTAAATTACATTCTAATTTTAAAGAAAATGTACTCAAGCTTCGAGGTTAATTCCTCGGAGCTGGAGAGAACCTGTGGTGTGTGAGTTACAGGACACAGACTGAAGCTCCTGGAACAGGAGAGGGTAGGGATGGGGCACAGAACCCTATGAGATATCTCTTTTCAGGGAGTTTGTCAGGGAGAAGAAGTTCCGGACAGAGGCTGAAGAGTTTGGGTGGAGTTTTGTCTTTGAGGACTTTGTCTCCAGTGAGCTAAGAAATAAAGCAACCCAGCAGATGCAGGTGAGAACCTGGACATGCAGCTGAGGGAGCTGGAGAGGAGGCCTGGCCAGACACTCCTGTGGCCTGTGGGGTCTCCTGACCACAGCAGAGAATCAGACCTGACTCTGGCAGAGAAAGGAAGCAGGAGAAACCCATTCTGGGAGAGTTGGATGAATACACACTCCCACAAGTTAACCCTGAGCTTGTTCTTGCATAGGGAGACTAATAAAAATCCTTAGATACTTCCTGAGTTGGTAGGAGAACATCTAGAAGCCGGGCATAGTGGTACATATTATAATCCCAGCAATTAGGAGGCTGAGGCAGAAGGCCAGTCTGGGCTGCATAGAAAGATCCTGTCTCAAACAAAACATCCTGACTGACAGGCCTTCCTCTAATGGGATGGTGAGTTCAGCCACAACCTCAGTCTCTGCTCTGTCTCAGAGGTGCCCTTACTGGGCTGCAGCACTTTCATTCATCCTGCTTCTTCTTTGCAGTCTGTTCTCTGGTGGCTTCCAGTAGAAAAGGCATTTTGGAGGCAGGTAAGTGCTGGTTTGTCCACCACCTTTGTACTCCTGCTGTCTCCAGAAGGCATGATGGGAGCTCTGGGGAAATTAGCCAAACAAGCCTGTTCCTCTGTTCTACCTCTTCTCCCTGTTGCTCTTATCCTCATCGCCTATCCCATCCATCATTGCTCCCTTTAGTCTCTCTCTTTGTTTTTTTTTTTTTT